AGCTTGTAGCCATCCATTGCAGCACTCCAGCTGTGTGAGTCATCCCACCATGTTGCCATGATGGCGACTATGTCATAGTTTTCCTGCCATGCAATGGCTTCCAGCTCCTCCTGCTTATTGCCCATGCTACATGCATTGGTGTAAATGCACTTCAGTTGGGCTATTGATCTTGTCTCCAACACAGGCATGCCACCCCTAGGCTCATCCCTAGCAAGCCTGGTTTTATGCCCTTCCCCCTTTGAATCTAGTTTAGAGCTCTCTCAATGAGGCCTGCTAACTCCTGAGCCAGAATCCTTTTCTCCCTTTGTGACCGGTGAACCCCTTCTGTCTCCAGCAGGCCTGGTGCCATGTAAACTGCCCCACGATTGAAAAACCCAGAATTCCACCACTGGCACCAGCCTCTGAGCCACATGTTAATGAGATGGGTAATGAGATGTTGCTTTGGGGAGTTAGCACGATTTCTAACACAGGCAGATTTTCTCTTGTGTTGCACAAGGAGTTAACTAATTGTTTAACAAATAGGACCTTTTCCTCTGTCTTCAGTAGTTTTAGAGTTTTTGTAATAGTATTTTCATGCTGTTAGTGATCATCCATGGACACTACTGGCAACTCTATGTGAGCAAATATTCCTAATAATTAAAAAAAAAAAAATAACCTTCAATGTAATTTAATATTAAAAAAGCGTAAAGAGTACAGACCTCAGACTTTTTAAATTCCTTCTTTTTATGCATCTGTCATTTTTTTCATCTATGAGAGTACTTGGATGGTTCCCATTATTAAAAACTCTGACATACTCATATAAAATAGGGTGTGCATTCTGACAGTGCCCTGTGAAGTAAGGGGAACTGCTAACTCCATTCTTAGTCGCGGAGATCTGAAACAAAACTGACACATAGTGAAGATGGCAGAGGAGGTCTGTTGAGAGGAGTTCTCACTGTCCTTTGGCATCCAAGGGTCTAGTGCATTCATTGATATTCATTTATTATTTCTATGTTGCTATATAATGTGTATTTTAAATAATGTATTTCTATCCTGTGCACTTCAGTCATTGGAGTTTTGTATGTTTTTATTTACTGGAAACAGTTACTTTTGCTGCTGTAACATTATGACGTTTCTAAACAGAATAAAGTAAACTTTGGTAAACTGATGAAATTACGTTTTCAGGAACTTCAAGAACATCTGAAGATTACTGCTTTCAAAGACTTGGTAATTAGAGACAGAGAGTTGACTGGAGCACTCATTGCTTCTCTCATAAACTGTTACATCAGAGATAATGCTGCTGTGGATGGCATCATTGCCCATTTGCAAGATATCTGTCCTCTTCTTTATAGCACTGATGATGCTGTGTGTTCCAAGGTAAGCACGCTTCCAGATTTTACAGCACCAAAACACAACTTCAGAACATGTTCAAATGAGAGAAGTTGGGCAGCTTGTAAATCATTATGCTCAACGAATTTCAGGAGTACAAGAACTAATGAAGGCAGGTTGTTTGCATATTTGTGTCTTGTAGTTGATTAATGCTGAAAATTATGCGAGCTCTGGTTTGAAGCATTTGCAGTTATTTGTAGTGTTCATAGGGTCTCTACCTCCAATGTGATGTCTAATAAAACTGCCTTCTTGATGTTGATAAAAGGTGTTCTTATTCCAGTCTTTCCTCAGCGTGGACTCTTGTTTTCTGTCTGTTGCCTAGTTTCATGGAATTTGTGGAAGGATAATTGTGATTAAGAACTTCACTCTTTGAGGCTTTTCAAATAAATTTGAAAAAAGTAACTGGTGAGGGGAGAATTTAAGTCTTAAGCCCTTGTCTCTACTGCTGTTGTACACTTTTTCTGCTGGAAACTTAGTGTTAAGTGACAAGAGAGTGCTTTTGAGAGGATGATGTTTCTACTGTTTCAGCTTTGAAGTCTGGAATAACTCATTAACTTAAAACAATATCCACGATCTGTTCATGATGTGTTCATGTGAATAATTTCCATTTTCCCATCGTTTTTCTTTAGGCAAATGAACTGCTTCAGCGGTCTCGACAGGCTCAAAGCAAACTGGAAAAAGAGAAGATGCTAAGGGAGTCACTGAAAGAGTACCAGAAGATCAGCAATCAAGTAGACCTTGCTAATGTTTGTGCACAATATAGGCAAGGTAAGAGGCAATCAGTGATAATGTTCTGGTAAATAGTTTCTGTAGTATCCTTTTGTGCCATCTTTTTTGTTTGTTTTGTTTACTTTCAACTCATTTTATAGTGTTTTACCATAAACAGTTTCTTAATGACTGTTACAATTAATATAGGTCAACCTGTTCTTGTTTAAAGCCTTTCTATATTTCATCAACCAATCAAAAAATCCACTTCTGTATAAAAATATTCCCATCCACTTATTTCACATTGCAGCGTCCATTTGTTCCATATATGTGGTAAAAATGTTTTTAGGAAAATTGTTGGGCTGTATGTAAGGAGAGGGTAAATGACTGTACTTTTGCAGGTAAGGTTTTATACCAAATATGCTGTTTGAAATATGGTTCTGAATCTTGTTTCGTGCAGTAGAAGTTAGTACATAATTTAAATGTATCTACAACTGTTGTAACAGTCACGATTTCAGCCTCTGTACAAATATGTAACTTCAGATTTGCATATAATCCCGCAGGTTAGGTACAGGCATAACGCTTTTATGATACAGACCAGAGTGAATAAGGTGTATTTTTTCTTGCTTGCTAAAGTGAGAAGTGTTTGATGTCACTTACTATTTTGTCATAGATTTAATACAATAATGAATGGTGATATTTGTTGATTTTTTTTTCTAGTGCGTTTCTATGAGGGAGTAGTAGAACTCTCTCTTACAGCTGCTGAGAAGAAAGATCCCCAAGGTCTTGGCCTTCATTTCTATAAAAATGGGGAACCAGAAGAGGATGTTGTTGGACTCCAGGCTTTTCAAGAGAGGCAAGTTTTCAGAATACCTTATTACCATTATATGGGATGCTTTATTTCAAGTGATTGGAGAAATAACTCTTTTGGGACAGGTATGCAGGGTAATGACAAACAAGCATTTTATAAGGGACACAATATAGATGATTTTGCCCAGCATGCTCTCCTTGATTCTCATTAACATGGCACCAGCTTAATGTGGAACAGAGGGTAAACTAATAGATGCAGAGAACATTGTGATCTGAACATTACAGAAATACTTGTTAGAAAGATGATTGACAACAAACTAGATTGTACAACTAGGTGACAGTAGTCTGTGACCTTTTTTAAATTTTAGTAATTGTGTTTACAAAGGCATACGGTAACAACATTTGAGAAGAGTATTTCACAGGTAGTTGCAATGAAAATTGTGAGGCTTTTATTTTCTCTTGCTCTGTTTACAGATTGAACAGCTACAAGTGTATCACTGACACCCTTCAAGAGTTAGTGAATCAAAGTAAAGCTGCTCCTCAGTCTCCCAGTGTACCCAAAAAGCCAGGTCCTCCAGTGCTGTCATCTGACCCCAACATGCTAAGCAATGAAGAAGCAGGGCATCATGTAAGAAACTCACAAAAAAATCATGACTGCACTCCAGAAAATAGTGTGATTTGAAGGGGTGCAGAATTTATTATTTTTAAAAAATTATGGAATAGTTTAGCAAAGTAGATAAAAGTCAAGATTTGTCATAAATGGGCTTCTTTATATACAGAGTTTTCACAGAAATGATGACACGCAAATAATGTGAACCTAGGTATTGTCGCATGCATATTCAGTGCTTGATGTAGTGTAACCACTTCTGGATTAACAGCTTTGGCCTTTTCTTCCCTTAGTTTGAACAAATGCTAAAGCTGGCTCAGCGTTCAACAGATGAACTCTTCAGTATTGCACTTTACAACTGGTTGATACAAGTTGACTTGGCAGACAAACTGTTACAGGTGATCTCATCCCTCTACAATGAAATAATTTGAACTGGAAGAGTGAATTGTAATAATGCTGATGCTTTAAAAAAGAGGAGAGACCAAGAAAATCAATGTTATCTTTATGACTTTTGCAGGTTACTGCTCCCTTTTTGGAACCCTACCTTGTGCGGATGACCAAGATTGACCAAAACAAAGTCCGTTATATGGATCTACTGTGGAGATACTTTGAAAAGAACAGAAATTTTAGTAATGCAGCCAGAGTCTTGGCTAAGTTGGCTGACCTGCATAGGTATGGGTTATGTGTGATCTATTGCATATATTGAGGTAATTGAAAAATAAAATCAAAACCTAATAGGTTTTCTTAAAATACCTAACAGGTATTTTAAAATACTTAATTTAGGTATTTTAAAATACCTAATTTAGGTATTTTAAGAAAAGGACAAGGACAAGAAAAGGACGATGCCCAAGGACATCTGCAAAAAAAATTTTAAATGAATGGAATATGTTAGTTTTTAATCCATGGCATTATTGGGAAAAAATGAAATATTTATTTTATGTATTATTCATTAGCTTGCAATGTATTTCCTGTTTTAAGTACCATATATTAAGTGGTCATTTCTTACACAGAACTTTATAATGTGATTGATAGTGTAACTGTGGAGCAGTGGATTGAGAAGTACTCTAAAACTGAGCCTGCACAAAGATGGGGTTTACATGGTTGGGTAATCTCATGCATGATTTAGTAAAATCAGGAGAAGTCACATTCCCAGGATCTAGTAAGAATATAACTAACCCTCAAATAATTATACTAAGTACCCATTTTACACTTTGAATATTTGTTTTGCAGCACAGAAATTTCTCTTCAGCAGCGTCTTGAATACATTGCACGTGCCATTTTGAGTGCCAAAAGTTCCACTGCCATATCCTCTATAGCTGCAGATGGTGAATTCCTACATGAACTAGAAGAGAAAATGGAAGTAAGAAAAAATATTAACCTAAGCTACACTGTAAATGCATTATTTCACTTTGTCTCATTGGCACATGACATTTTTATTACCAATTCTGTAGAAACAGTTTTCTGTGCTTTCTTCCCAAAGTTATGCAAAGTTACGCAGTTGATACGAGACTCCAAGGTGTAAGATGGTAACATTTCTACATTTAAATAAGTTAAAGTTAATTACTGGTGTATGAGGCTTTGATTAAATAAATCCAATCTTGAAATATTTTATTTTCTTTTTAAACAAGGTTGCAAGGATCCAGCTTCAAATACAAGAAACGTTACAACGGCAGTATTCCCATCATTCTTCAGTGCAAGACGCAATCTCCCAGCTTGATGCTGAGCTGATGGATATAACCAAGGTGATTAAAATTTCTCTGTATTAAAAGTCAATTTATCACATTTGTGGGGGAAAAAAATGTTTTGCAAAGAATGATTCTATGCTGACTAGGAAATGTAATAGAGAGAGAGTTTGGCATTCCTTGTCTCAGAATGTCTGTTACTCTAGACTGTCTTTTTCTGTACTTTGATACTCCTTCAATTGTTAGTACTTTAATTTCTTCTATGGGTTTCTGTCCTTTATTAAGTCTCTTAGATTTCTTCATTTATTGGGAAAGTTGTTAGAAAATAAATGGTATTAATTATAACTTCATATAAAATTGGGGATTGTATTTAAGAAGTGAAACTAAATGTAGTAAAAAAAAATCATTTAGTGTTTGACAACAGTTACTTAAGTTGCACCCTTACTAGTCTGATGTCTACCACACAAAATAAAGAAAAGCTGATTTTAAAACTTTGCTTTTTATCCTACTTGAAATGTAAAGCCTGGTAATTTTTCTTTCAGCTGTATGGAGAATTTGCTGACCCTTTTAAGCTCTCGGAGTGCAAGCTTGCAATTATACATTGTGCGGGTCATTCTGATCCTATCTTGGTGCAAACTCTCTGGCAAGAAATCATTGAGAAAGGTGGGTCTTAATGGACTAGGAGTGGTACAAGCTAGAACTACAGGAAAATGGTACAATTAAATCTTTTAAGGCTGACTATGTGCTGCTACTGATGTGCTGTCCAAGTAAGATGCACCCTTTCTGGACTATTCTGTAATATATTTGGTAAGCGTAGTTAACTAGTAATTCATTAATGTTATTACCTTTTGGCTTGTGTGCCTGAAGGACAGAAAAGTAATATTTTTACATAGATGTTGGAGCATATTGTATGTATGGCTTGAATAATCACATTCCCGATAACGTTTAAGAAGGTGTTTCATCCGTTCTTGTTCCTAGATGCCATTATATATGGCCTTCAGAATACCTGTGAAACTTTGTCTGAAAGTTTCACTATTAGGAAATTACAATAAAAATGTTAAATTTATTGTGACAAAGATTAAAGAATCTTCAGGGAGTTCAGCCTTTTTGTCATGTTGACAGAAGTGGCAGTGTATGGGTTTTGTCTATTTATAGAGAAGCAGAGTAGTGGGCACAGCTCTGCAAGCCTAGCCACTCCACTGGGATAATCTGCCTCGCCCTTTACCAGGAGTTGGTCATTCACTCTCTTTTCCTGTTTTTTTGGGGGGGTTTGGGGGGTTTTTTGGGGTTTTTTGGGTTTTTTTCTTGAATTTTGTGTTGCCATCGTGCAAACAACACTGACAGTGATTTGAGGGAAAAGCTACGTGGTAGTGGGTTTTTTGTGGGTTTGTTGTTGTTGGGTTTGGTGGTCGGGTTTGGGGGCGGTTTTTAGTTTGTGGTTTTTTTAAGTAGGTCTGTATGGAACTTCAAGGAAACATAATAATCTGTGAATATATATGCTTACACACAAGAAAAAATTGTCTTTTTAGTTCCACGTGCTGATTTTCCACTAACAATAGCATTAAGATTTTGATGTGTTAGTAGTACCTCAGTGTCGTTGTGTATAAATGTGGAAAGTTTTTTCTGAAGTTCTCTTCAAATTATTTCTTTTCACTTTCAGAGTTGAGCGATAGTGTGTCTCTGAGCCCCACTGACAGAATGCAAGCTCTCAGTCTGAAGATGGTATTGCTTGGGAAGATATATGCTGGCACACCTCGTTACTTCCCTTTAGGCAAGTTGTTTAGCCTGCGTAGTGAACAAACATACACATTTCGTGAATGGGTCTCAGCTTTCATTTTAGCCTCTTAAAAAAAACGTTTTAACCTAAGAAATGTCTCTTCCTTTTTTTTTATCTAAAAGGAAAGAATTTTGATAATTTTGTGATACATAATTATGTACTTGTGATACATAATTACTGTAGTTATTTGTGAACTTTTTCACTGTAGCTGAAGCAACGAATTATTTCAACTGTTAGTAGTGATGGAGTTGATCTTGAGGGTAGCTGGGTAGTACTTTTCGGTTTTGTCCAGGAAATTAGGAACAAAAGCATTGTGATACTTGCTCATTATTACAGTGACTTTGCCAAGGGATTGAGGAGAGGGAGGTTAGACAAAAAGTAGAAATAGAATTCCTAATTTTGTAAACACAGTATAGTTGTATGATTATAAAACCATTACAGTTTTTACAGGTGCAGTTTTTCCTAGAATTTATCCAGGGGTTTAACCAGAATTTACAGTTTTTCACCCTGAATGGGGAGTGAATGAAGCTTAGAAGGCAGCAACAGTTATTTTTGGATGGCTGTGAAAGAAATCTACTACTACTACTTTAGAAAGTAGTAAAGTTTGTTTGTATTGAAGTACAAAGTAAAAATGTGTATTTATACATATATATAAAAGGTGTATTTATACATATAACAAGATCTTAGGCAACAACATTTATCTGCTGTCTTGAAGTATCTACTGTTATCGGCAGGGGCAGGTTTTAAAAACAATTCAGGAGATTTCTGGATCCTTTTTGGCACTTCTTTCTGCTGTTGAGATGCTCACATGTTTTGACAACTTGGTGTTATATAAAAGCCTGGAAAATATATTGTTCAGCACTAAATGTTCTTTTACTGTACTAAAGTATTGTAGAAGAACATTCAGTGCCGAACAATACATTGTTAATTGTTACTGACACTTAAACATGATAAAAGATGCAGTAGTGTTGCTGGCTATTCTAGCAAATGAAATGATAGTATGTTCTTCTGTCCTGGAACAAAAGTTAATGAACTTTTCTTAACAGCATATTTCCATGGCAGAACTGTAATAAAGTACTTAGTATGAGTAATCCCTGTCATGCATTAATGACAGCTTAATACCATCTTTGGAGGTAGTTACATTTTGCATATCCTTCCCTCAGTGCAGACTGGGGGGGAACTGTTAATGTGTACTTCACAGAAGAAAGGTACCAATTGTGTGGAAGACAGAAAATTAAGCTTGGAGTAAATCACTTTCAAATGCCTTTCTTTGCTAG